AGTGTAATTTCTCCTTGTAGTTCTCTTTGGTATTCTTGGTGTCCTTTATAGTTACAGTATCTAATTGCAAGCTGGAGATCTTCTCAGGCTAAAGTATGGAGATAAATGTTGAGGATGAGAAGACCAATTCAAATTTCATAGTTTCATACCAGAGTGAAAAAACTCTCCAATGTATTGCTTCTTCTGACTACAGTTGAGATTTTTAACAGCTGAGAGGACTTACAAACGCTTTTGAAATCAGTGTCTTTCATGTCTTGTAGAGCTGTTTTTGGTTCAAACCCCTTGCTTAGGTTACCTTACTTTTCTGGTTGCTATTTGCTACCTATCTGAAGTGCATAAGCTGTTTTGGAAAATGATCACCATGCTTCACAGTGACAATATACTGAATTAATTGCTGGCTAAGTCCATACTCACCTTATTTGTTTCTACATACACAATTTCTGATCTGAAACTGTATGATTTTGTACAGAAATCTGGGAGTCTTGAGGGCATCCTGAAAACTTGGCTCTTTGGTTTAGTGCAATTGTGTGATCCATACAGAGCTGTACTGATGAACAGCATGCTTACTGAGTAGTCTGAAAGGATTTATCTTGCATGAAAGTATGTATGCTTCAACTCACTTCTCTCTTTTTAATGTAGCGTGAGTCCTGTCACCACTCTGCTATGGTTCTGGTTTCAGTTGCCTTTGCTGAATCACAACAGGCAAGGCAGAAGAAAAGGGGATAGCAGCAGATAGCAGATGTTCCCAACTTAAAACATCCATTGTAGGAGAAATTAGGTTGCACTTTGCCCCAGAATCATTGAGACTTGAAAGATCCCAGAATCTCAGAACCAGAGGGGCTGGAAGGGACCTCTGGAGATCCCCCAGTCTGGCTTCTCCAAAGCAGTTCCCTACAGCAGCTGCATAGGAAAGCGTCTGGGGAATATCTCTAGAGAAGGAGACCCCACCACCTCTGTGGGCAGCATGTGCCAGGGCTCTGCCAGCCTCACAGTAAAGAAGTTCTTCCTCATGTTCGGATGAAACTCCCTGGGTTCCAGTTTTGCCCAGTGTCCCTTGTTCTGTCACCAGGCATGGCTGAACAGAGCCTGGCTCCATCCACTTAACCCCCACCCTTCAGATATTGGTCAGCACTGATCAGGTCCCTCTCAGCCTTCTCCAGGTGACCAGCCCCACGGCTCTCAGTTTCCCCACCAGGAGATGCTCTGTGCCCCCCCATCTCTGCAGCCCTCCACTGCACTCTCTCCAGCAGTTCCCTGCCTTTTTTGAAGTGAGGAGCCCGGCACTGGGCGCAGTGCTCCAGCTGTGCTTCCCCAGAGCAGAGCAGAGGGGAGCAGCACCTCCCTTGCCCTGCTGCCCACGCTCTGTGCAATGCACCCCAGGGTCCCATTGGCTTCTTGGCCACCACAGCGCACTGCTGGTGCGTGGTCACCTCTTGGTTACCAGGACACCCAGGTCTTCTTGTACTGATGCGTGTAGTTATTCCTCCCAGATGTAGGGCTCTGCACTTGCTGTTGTTGAACTTCCTGGGGTTCTTCTCTGCCCAACTCAGATTCAGCCCTGGAACGGGCTGCCCAGGGAGGTTGTGGATGCCCCGTCCTTGGACGTGTTCAAGGCCAGGTTGGACGGGGTCCTGGGCAACCTGATCTGAATGTGTACGTTTGGTGGCCCTGCTAGGCAGGGGGGTTGGAACTACATGATCCTTGAGGTCCCTTCCAACCCAGGTGATTCTGTGATTCTGTGATTCTGTGAACTCTTTGGGAAGTCCAGGCCAGATTTGGCAGACGACTTAAAATCTGTTACATCTTGATTGTTAGGCTCTTAAAACAGATGTTATCTTCATTTTATGTGTCAGTGATCTTTATCCAGACATTGCACTGATAGAAGGGGTAACAGAAAGAATGAATAACAGCCTGGAAATGGGAGCAAAACAGCAGTTCCCAGAGTCCCAAAAGCTGCACCAGAAAGAAGAAAATGCTGTGATTATTGTCAAACTGGAATCAGGCAAAGAATTGGGTTTTCTTTTCAGAGTTAGTGAAGTTGGGTGCTGGAGCAAGGATGAATATTATTCTTGTGGCTTTAACTGTTACTAAGTAGATTGCTGTGAAAATAATGCTTCCTATTTATTTCCTTGGAAACTGAAAGAGATAAAAGGGCACAATAACATTATTTGATAGAACAAATTCTCAGCTACAAAACAAGACAATAGTCACCACCATTAGCTGTGCATTTTTGCCATCAAGGAACAAGAGCTTCATACTGTACTTGTCAAAATCTTCATGGCCATCTAGCACATGGCTTGTCTTTCATATCTCTGTTGCCACTACTGAAATGCCTCACCTGTCCCTCACTGTGTCACATCCAGTGGTTGGTCCCCATAAGTATTCAGCAAGCATCCATGAATAAGAGCGGGTGCCTTTTTTTCCACATGGAGGAATTCAGTTCCACTCCTTTGCTTCATGCACATTTCCATGTCAGATTCCATTTTGTCAGACTGTCCCTCTGCTGCCATCTGCCACACGGCAACAAAATTTAATGGGTGGGAAGGTTCAAACTCTACTGCCATCCCACCAACATCTGCCTCTGGTGTTGTGGGTTGACATCATAAGTTAGGAGGCATTACTTTTGGAGCAGCCCTCATACTTTTGTATACAGTTCTACAGTATATCAGGCTCTTGATTTTTAGGAGTTATTTCTGTGCTGTCTGTTTAGATATCAAATGCTGAAATGAGGAAATGCATGAAGAAGAATGCATTTTTAGTATGTTTTTTTTTTTCCTTTGTTGGAAAGGGAAAAGCATTTTCCTGCTTTGCATATCTTAAATGCTCAGAAAATCTGCATTCACTTTATGTCAAATATTCTCATATTTGCAATCAGCTTTGTCATCATGGTGAATTGACTGTGAATACTCCAGGAAAAATGAGAGTCAAATATGAAGCAATGGGGTCCAGTTCTTCCCTGTTACGATGAGATCAAAAGGCACGTTGAGATGAATCACAGCACCACAGCATTGCAGGGATTGCAAGAGACCTTAAGAGATCAATCGGTCCAACCCTTTGCTAAAGCAGTTCCCTACAGTAGGTGGCTCAGGTGGGCATCCAGACGGGTCTTGAATATCTACATGGAAGGAGACTCCCCAGCAATATGGGCAGCCTGTTCCTGTGCTGCATCACCCTTGCTATAAAGAAGTTCTTTCACGTGTTAGTACAGAACTTCCCATAGTCAAGTTTTGGGCCATTGCTCCTTGTGCACCACCAAGAAGAGCCTGACCTCATCCATTAGCCTCCCACCTCCCTTCAGACGTTTATAAACATTGATCGGATATCCCCCTTAGTCTTTTCCCCAGGCTAAATAGCCCTGTGTTACTCGGCTTCTTCTCATATGGGAGATGCTCCTGGTCCTTCATCGTCTTTGTGGCCCTCCACTGGACTCCTTTGAAGAGATTCCTGTCTTTTTAGAACTTGGGAGCCCAGAACTGGACACATTAATCTGAATGTGGCCTCCCCAGGGCAGAGCAGAGGAAAGAACCACCTCCCTGCCCTTCTGGCCATGCTCTTCTTATTGCACCCCAGGATCCCCTTCTGCTGGCTTATGGCCAACCTGTTGTCCACCAGGATCCCCAGGTCCTGCTGTGCAGCGATCGCCTCCAGCAGGTCATCCCCTAACCTGTACAGATGCATGTGAGTATTCCTCCCCAAGAGCTGGACTCTACGCTTGCTCATGTTAAACATCATTGTTCCTCCCTGCTGATCTCTCCAGTAATAAAGTCCAAATCAAGAAGAGAGTTTGTGCTTCAGACGGTATCCATCAGACTCTGCAAAATTCTGGAATAAGCCTGATCTTCATTTTAGCTAACAAAGCATCTGTTCTCGAATTGAAGATGTCTTCAAAGTCAAATTTATGATTCATTTTCAACCAGTTATGCACTTCTTGCAGAAAATGGGCCAGAGTTTGGTCCTCCTCTGGATCAGATGTTTTATGATAATCAGGTCTGACACTCAAATTACATGCTTTTTCTGTTGGTTTCATAACAGGGCATTTCCTGCGTGCTCTTCAAATAATCTCAATGGGCATCTCATTCCCATGCCTTCCCTCTTATTCCTTACCTATGCAGAGTCTGTTTGACACATTCAGAACTTGTGTTCTCTGTATTGTTACCAGTTAGAATGAGCAGCTTCTATTTGAGGGCAAAAGCACTCATATTTGTGAATGAGCTAGAATTATCTAGCAGTGATATTTTCATGCTGAATGCTTCATTACACCCATTTCGCTGCCTTTTATGCTGTTAAATTCTCTGATTGTGTATGTAAATAACACTTTCAGTCATGGTCTTTATACACTGGGAATCCAGCTTACCACAGAAATTGGACATACTTTCCTCAATCATGTAAAGCAGAAGATAAGCTTCTCTTTTTTTTCTTCTTCCTTTTTTAAGGGCAAGCCTCAAAATAATAGTAATTAGAGTGCTCACACACACAGAGTGAAATTGCAGTGTGTAAATAGAAGCAAATAAATACAAAAGATCAAAGGCTAGATGGTACAGATATGTACATATTGAGGAGAAGACTAAAAGGTAAGGATATGTAGATATAGAGGGGTGCTGGTAGCCAGCCTGGGAGCATATCTTCACCAAGCTGTCATTCCTGTGGAAGGGACTCTGTTTTGCCTATGAGGATGCAGCATTAGACTTAAAACTTCCTGATAGATCTTGCTGAGGATTACACCAGTGTTCTGTTGAATTTTGAGACACTTAATCCCATTTTAGCTTTCTTTTTTTTTTTTCCTTCCTTTTCTTTGCCAGGAATCTGCAATCACTGAGCACCTGATAAAAATCTGTGAGTAGTTTATCGGTCCCTTGGGCACTGAGGTGTTCCACACCTGCCTTCATAGCCAGATGCTACCTCAGCTAGGGTGTAATCCTTTCTCTGGCTCACATGCTTGTGCTGACAGGTTTGCTGTGTGCTGTGCATCCTCAGTGTACTCTGGTCTCTTTTCCTTCCAGGATGGCACACTCTTTGAATGAATGGCTATGGCAGCACGAGTTCTGGCTCCCCCCAGGAATTACATGGGAGGACATGAAGGAGTCTGAAGACATCCACTACCCTAAGCCTCGTGATCTCCTGCTCAGCATCCCTTTTGCCTTAATCCTGGTTGTCATTCGATGTGTCTTTGAAAGGTAAGTTCTTTAGTGATGTTTGGGGTGTTCTGGGGATAACAGCATCATTGCAGGTCCAAAACGTGGCTCTGTTGTCTGGACCAGTGCATGATTGAAGACAACCACAAAAACATCAGGTCATAAATTCTGCTGAGCCAGATATTTCAGGTCTTACTTTGTAGCTGTATTTATTTACTGAAGAAGCATATTGAATATAGAGCATTTACCCTTAAGGTCTAATTATAAGCAGTGTAACTTCCTACACTTAAAACAGGTAAGCCCTAGTATTAGTTTGTGCTTGTGCTTCAAAATGCAGACATACTGTTTCTGTTGTACATTGCTGGCTGTTTCTGGGTCAAGTGAAGTGGAAATAGTGTTTAGACTTCCTAAATACATTTACGTGCCCTCTATCTCAGAAAGTGGGGATCTGGGATATCTCACCGGACAGGGGAGCCTAAATAATACGCATTAACATAAGCTTGTGCCCTCAGAACCAGCACTGCATAGCCACATGAACATATGCATTTCACTCACCACAGTTCAGGATCAGGAGTGTAATTTCCTTCGGAGCACCATGCAGGGAGAATTGTGGCTGCTTTCTCCAGGTCAGGGCCTGCTGGAGCCACTTACAGTGCTGGGCTGCCAGAATCTCTCCTCCTCTTCCCCTGCTTTGTGGCTGCTTTTTGCAGTCTTCCAGTAACAACACAAGAGTTGCTGTGGTTTTAGGATCTTTTTGGCCAGAGCCATTTGGAAATTTTACTCTTCAGGGAAGAAAATCTGGGAATTATGGCAGAGGCACAGCTTGAAATCTCCCAGTGTTTGCTGGGTGGGTTTCATGAAGGTCCTCAACTGGTGCTATTGATATAGGCAGTTTAGCCATTGTTTAGTGTTGGTGTGATGTAATTTGTGTGTAGATCAACTGAAAGTTACCATAGTGTCATCAACTGTCAGGGCTGCAGAGTAAATCCGCTTTCATGATTTTGAAAATTACTTAAAATAGTCTTTGCTAGACTGAAGAAATCCTATTCCTACCTGCTATCTGAAGAGGCGTTCCTTTAAGGGACGATGGCTGCTCCAAAAATAATGCTTTCTAGTTTATTATGTTGGCCCACAACATGAGAAAAGGATGGTGGTGGGATGGCAGTAGAGGTTGAGCCTCCCCACCAACATCCCATTACCGTGTGACAGATAGCAGGACAAGGGCAGTCTGACAGAATGGTGTCTGACATGGAAGTGGATGAAGCAGGGGGGGTGAATTGAATTCCTCCATGAGGAAAAAATGATACACACTGATGTTCATCAACATTTATGGAGACCAAACAGTGGATGTGAGCACAGTGAGGGACAGGTGGTGCATTTCAGCAGTGGAGGCATTGAGGTGGGTCACCTCTGCAGTTGAAGTTGTGTGAGTGCAACTTGCAAATATTGTTGGCAAAAAGGCACAGCTAATGGTGGTGACCATGTTGAGAAACAGTGTTAGGTAGCTGAGAACTTGCTCTATCAAATAGAGCTATTGTGCTGTCTGTAACTGTTGTAGAGTCCATGGAAATAAATGGGAGGCATCACTTTTGGAGCAACCTACATAATTTAGTCAAAGATGGTGGTGGTGGTGGTTTTTAGGAAAAAAAATTAAAAAATTAAAATTAAAAATCAAAAAAGAGTCTGCACAAGAAAATGGAAATAGACCTCTCTGTAGGCTAGTAACAGATTTCTTCTCTGGATTTTTTGTGACACGAGGACATAATGGAAAAGTTCTTTGAAGTAGATTCTAAATTCTGTTGTGAGAATGTTTTTATGTAAAAGTACTGGCATTCAAGTAGAGTGTTATTAAAACCAAATGCATGAATGATTATTTAAAGAATCTTTTTATGATGATACTTGGAATTGTTTGTAAAGAATATGTTTAGGGTGCATTCCATAAATTGTGTTGTTTTTATCGTCCGCTTACCTGAGGACATAGGTGTCTCACTTACCTCCACTCATGTTTGAACCAAGCTGCTGTCAGCAACCATTAAAAGAGAAGTCAATCACATTTCTTCCTTGCTGACCTGTAGTCTTCTTTAGGTAGGTGATGTCAGTCGGCCACTTAGACATGCTTGGAGAGTGAAGCTAGACATCAACCTCCATGTTCTGCATTGACCAGAATTGCCCCATTCTGGGCTCATGAAGACAGAGGAGCCAGACTCTGCTCAGTGATGCCTAGTGGCAGGACAAGAAGAGGCACTGAACACAAAATAAAACACATGATATCCCATCTGAATATAAGAAAACACTTTTTTACTGCAAGGGTGGTCAGATATTGGGATAGGTCGCACAGGAAGGGAACACTCTTCTGTGGAGAAACTCAAAGCCCCACTGCATGCTCAGCAGCCTGCTCTCGCCACCTCAGCCTGAGCTGCAGAGCTGGGCTGTGTGGTATCCTGAGGCCCCTTCCAGCTCTAACAGTTCAGTGCTTTTGCGTCTTTGTATTCCTCTTCCTCCTGCCACATTGGTCCTAGTCTGCCTGAATATCTTTTGTCTCCTTTAAGATACCTCCAACCAGATAAAAAGATTTTTTTTCTTTACTATCCAAACACTGCGTCAGCTGGGAGGGTTTCCATGGGCCTAGGCCTGCTCATGCATTTTAAAGCTGTTTTAATTCACAAACTTCATTAAATAAAAGCTTCTTGCCACACCCTTTAAAAGATAATATCTCAAGCCCATTTTACAAGTCCAGGAAACCTGTAATCATGCCACTATCTTACCTATGCAAATTACAAGCTAATGTTCTGAGCCATATTCTTGTTTGTCCTAACTCTCTACAGGCATTTATTTCAGCAGGAAATTTTCACATTCTTAAATCATTACTGTTTCACAGTCAATTCATCCTGGAAAAGAAAGCCTCCCTTAGTGTGAATCAAGCCCACTGTCTTTCGGTTACATTGCACAGGTGGGCTAGGATGGTTTAAACTCATTGGCAGAGTTTGGAGAAAAGCAGGCTGAAAGGTTGTGTATTATTTCTCACTTTCCGTGCAGATGGCTCTGACTCTGTAGCTTTGCATGTTTGTGGATCAAAATGTGAGTTTGGAGAACGTAAATAAGCTACAAGATTGGTTTAAATGGCTTTCCCTTGGCCTCTGTCAGTTTATTCCACCCTTATGACTTGTTAACTGTGCATCCGGTGTAAAGCATTTCTTTTGTTTGAGTATGCTCTCTGTTTCTGGTGATTCCTGCTCTGGATTTTGGAAATGCTCTGTCAGAATTCCAAGAAAATTCTAAAGAGGCAAGAGAAGCCCAGAGGAGGTTCTGTGAGCCGTATTTCAGCAGCTGCATTGGATGCCTTGCTTGGCATTTTTTAATGGTACCATCTTATGGTTTTGGAGTTCATACCTTGGGAGTTTTTCTACCTGCTGCTACCCTGGAGTGTTTTTTCTTTTCCTCTCCTTGGCATGTATGGGCTGAACTTGGATAAACTGTGACAAAAACATCCAACAACCAGTTGTTGAGTGGATTAGGTGGCGGCTGTGGGAAGTGGAGGAGCTGGGTGGGGCCTGGGAGAGCTGAGGACACTGTGAGTGCAACCCTGGAGGAAAAAACACTTTGTGAAGCAACTCCTCTCTGAGCTGCTGTGATCTGGGTAAGGTGGGAAAATAGGGGGTGTTCAGGGCTGGTGAGCAGCATACAGTGCTGTTTGTCTCCATGTACCACAATACTGAGGCAGGTCAGAGAACCACAGAGTTGTTGAGGTTGGACAGACCAATAAGAGCATCCTGTCCAACCAGCAACCCCCACCGGTGACACTCTCGGCCATGGCACTCACTGCCACATCTCCATGTTTCTTGAAGACTTCCTGGGCAGCCTGTTCCAGTGCCTCACCATTTGTTCTGAGTGTACAAATAAATGAAAATTAATTTATTATAAATAAATGCTTCCAAGCTGCACCTCCCCTGGAGCAACTTCAGGCCATTTCCAGCTGTTGGGGGAGGTAAGTAGTTCTGTGCTGACACAGGAGAGGAGCTAAAACTCTAGAACCTCTTCAGTTCCTCTGATTGTGCTTGTACATATGAAGTGTGTTCTGGACCCGTAATTTGGAGCCAGATTTTAAACATCTGTGTGCCTTAACAGAACTTTTCCCTTGGTGGCGTCAAGTGGTACAACAAATGACAAAGTCAAGAAACAGCAACCTGGAAGATTCATTTTGGGCTTTAGGAAGAACTTCATTCCTGGGAGGATGGTGCAGGCCTGGGACATGTCACCAGAGACATGGAGAATCTCTGTACTTGGTGTCCTCAAGACTTAGCTATGGTGCGTTTCCAAGACTTCATGTTGAAACCTCTATTGTCCTGATTAGATGTTAGCAATGGTCTCCCTTTGAGCAGGACATTGGACTGGAGAAATCCAGAGGTCTCTTTCAGCCAATGCTAGTTTATTGGGCACTGTGACATACTTATACCCCACCTTTTTGTGATAATTGGCAGCCCAGCAGGCTCTGCTTTTTACAGATTTCTGCACAAGCTCAGGTCTAGGTGGATGCTTCTGAGCCTTAGCACAATTCTGTATACTGGTGAATATATCATACATGTGAAAGTAGGATGCTAGGATGCTGGGCTGGCAAGTGTCCTATGTCACTGCCTATTATATTGTCCTGTGCTCCTGTCCATGTTTTCATACAGGACACTGGTGCTCAAAGGTTGATTTTGAGTCTTTGTATCCAATACTCAAACTGTAGTGTCCCGACATCACTCATAATTTCCTGTAGTTGCATTTATAGGCCAGGGTCTTAGATGCATTGTGTTTGTTTCAGGTGTTTTGTATCTCCCTGCGGCTGTAGTTTAGAGCTGTCTCAGTGACTCTTTTCTTAACTATGTGGGAAAAACTTGATTTTGGAGCTTATGACATTAACATTTCCTCAAGACCTTTGTGCTTCCTTTGCACAAAGGGGAAGATGAGTGCCTCTTAGCTAAATTTTGGATGATAAAAGAACTGTTCTAGTGAATGGTGAAAAAAGCTTTTAATAGGAGAAAATGATAGAATAAAACACA